TTTTTTTTTTTTTTTTTTTTAAAACAAGGAGGAAAAGAACAGACAAGATAACAAATCTTGAAGGCCAAGTCACAAAAAGACTAGTGTGCCCAAATTGGCAGCTGCTTAAATCCAGAACTTAGGTCTTCAAACCTCCAGCTCAGCTGTTGCCCAACCCTGAATGTGATTTGTTTTCACTTGTTAAGTTCCCTACATGCCTAATTATCTCCCATTAGGCAGATGAAGTCACTGAAGTCCAGACATGTTTTTCTTATACCTACTTGCTGGATTCAAATAAAGAGGATTCTCCACCTACCTGACCTGCAGGAACCAAATCTTGCAGGCACTCTCACAGCAAACTTAACACAATGCAAGTTGTAGTGGGTGCATGGGGGAAAGAAGGGCTGGTCGTCTTCCTTCCATAAAAATCGAATGGGGAAGATCTGGGCTTGAATCCCTGCCCTGCCCAGGACCCATGTCTCCCAGAGTAGCTGGGAGAAAAGACAGGTGCCAGTCAAGGCGATTTAATACGAAATGAAAGCTTCCACAGGATGACTGAGCATGAGCCGTTCCAAAATACCCTATCCCTTGGCAGTTAGACTTTCCTGGGTAGCAAGAGATGTGGGTGCAACTCCCCCCAGCCAGAAGAAAAAGAAAAGGCTCCTGCTCCCCAGAGAAGTGATCTACGCCCTAGGTTTGTAGATAAATGGGTCAGGGCATCCAGCTGCGTTTTGTGGAGAGCTGTCTTACTCCTGTTCATGGCTGAGACTCTTGGGTGGAGGGAGTATTTTCCCGCAGCCTACGGTTTGGTGCCACACACCCTGCCAGGGACACGACTTAGGCCCCATAGCTCTCTGGGGTAGCTTAAGACAGCTGTCCACTCAGTGTGCTGGTTTTTGTGGATCCTGATTGTACATGCTTAACTCCTCTCGTGCATACATAGATGTCTCAGTGTTTAACTGGATGCCATGAGGGGACAGTGCCTAGAAGCTTGGCACCAAGCTTTGCAATGCTTAAGTCATTTTGCTGATCTAATACTCTATGAACCCAATCAGGAATCAAGTACTGGCCCAGGTCTACAACCGAAACAAAAACCATCCAATATACAGCCAGGTTTGCTGAGAGGAAGAGCAATTGGGTAACCAATTAAAATTCTGCTTCCGAGCTACGGAAAGTATATGAAAACAAATTTGATCACCCCCACAGTTCAAATATACACGTATAATATAAAAGCAAAGATTTCTACCAGCAGCTTTTGTTTTCCATTTTCTGCACTAGACTCTCCTTCCGTTTACCCGGTGAAGAAGCAGCATCCATATGCTGGTGTTGATGGTCATGTTAGTAAGTTGTGGTTTTGAACAAAGGCTCTCAGTTTTATTTTATAAAAGACTCAGTTCTCAGGCACTGAAGCCAATTAGTTAAAATTTCTAAGTTGTAAGTACTGTACAATGAGATACAGGAAGGGTTGAAAGTGTGAGAGGGGACAGTTTGATTCTACAAATGCACAGGTGAACAGTTGTTATTACAACTGATACACATTTGTACAAGGCCCATTTCTATAGCAGCAGCAAAACCTTGGACTATTAGGTTAGATAAACACTTTTGACATTTCTGCTAACCAAGGAGAGCAGGAAATGAAGGCAGACTTTCACTGGGTGACAACATTCACGGGTCAGGTCTTGCCTGGCTCTGTATCAGCCAGAGAAGCCAGATAGGACAGCACAGGATTTCAAAGTGAAGCAAGACTGATGAACAGGAGCCTTGGCCATCATCACAAAAGATTTTGTACGAATCCAAACATTACATAACTAACTCCATTAAACAGACCACTGAACTCAGCACAGGTTTATAAGCACCAGCAGTCCAGTAAGTCTGAAAAATAGGTTTTATTTTAAACCAGTGGTATTGTGACATCCTATATGGCATAACCAATTACAGCAAGGTTCATGGATAGAAACAAAATAGCAGAATCTTTTTGAAGTGTACTTCCAATGTAATTCCAGGCAGTAAAACAGCACTGTGCTGAAGACAGGGAGCGTATGCCACATGGGCTCCCATTAGAGTCTGGACTTCAACATTCCCATTCACACACACACACTCACACACACGCAATGTCTATTGTTTTAAAAATCTTTAGCAATACTTCTGCATGAAAACACACTGTTGCTACTACACATAAAATGGTTGATAAAAAATAATCTTGCTGTAGGTTTACAGAGTACATCTACATTTCCATCTGAATACCTGGACTATAGGTCCAGCAGGGCAGGGAGGTTTTCTATTGGTGATTTTGTTTGGTCTGGGGCAGGGTTCAATACCCAAGGCATGAAAGAACAACTCTCTCCTCCTCACCCCAAATTTCTCTAAAGGGTTTGACCTGATGAGATAATGGGAAAGTGTTCTAAGAAAGTGATGGCTTCATCGTTCACCTCCCATCCCTTTGTGCTGCCTCTTTATACACAGGGATAAATATACTAAAAACAGCTTCTCTCCACCCCTAAATCCAAGATCCATCAAGATACAAAATACTGCAAAAGCCTTTTTCCTTGCATACACTTTGTTCACATATATCCCACCAATATATGAACTTTGGAAAACCTCTCACTCCAGACCCTAAAAAAAGGGCATCCAGGTTACCCAAGATACCTCTAGTACACAAAATACTGACAGACCCCTCCCTCTGTAGCCAGTCCCTAACCAGGGGGATTTCATTACACCAGCAGCCCTAAGATAACAAAATACATTAACTTCTTTTTTTTGCTTCAAACATACTGCCTTTCCCTGTTCTTCCCAGCAGAGATCAACTCCCTAAAAAAAGGCAATAAGCTCTTGTCCTATGAGGTATAAACCCACCTTAATAAAGTGTTACGCAGTATATATAGCTGTAGATACAAACAGTGAAAGGGAGGTTCTGGCTTCATGCGTGCTTATTCATTGTTTGGCATACAACATTTCTAAGTGTTTCTTTTGAGGAAGTTGCTTTGAACTTTGGGCACTTAAATGGCTCTACGTACTCTTTTGCAGATCCTGCTTTACTTTAACCCCACAAAAAACATCTCTTCTTTTCTGAAACCACAAACACCAGAACAAAAAGAGTGGCGAGTTTCTGTCCCGTCCTTATCACAGCATCCAGAATGGCAGGTACGTTCACACCGAGTTGCAGAACAAGAGGGAGGATGCTGTGATCTTCCTACAGCACTGGCTGAGGTACTCAGTACAGTATGTCACTGGCAGACTTACTGCCCCAGTACCCTCCTCCAAGATAATGCAACAAGTAGCTCTACATGCACATACAGCTACAACATGCAAAAAATACCCCACCTGTTTAGAAATAAAGTACACAAATATGTACAGACAGCAAGAATCATCTCCAGTCTCTGCCTGTGCCCATCAGGATTTAATGCTGGGAAGCCTCAGGACGAGAGAAGGGGAAGAGGGAGAAGTATGGCAATACCCAACCTAGGGTCATGGGACTGTGCCTTGGAAGGTTGTTTCCTGGTGACAAAGCCCGGGCCTGACTACCCTGCGGCTCACTTCCAGAAGAGCAGCAGGCTCCGAATTCCACTCCAGACTTAATTCCAGACTCTTTCTCCATCCAGTTAAGGCACAAACATATTTACAGTTTCAAACAAATCCTTCTCGTGTTCCAAGAATCAAGCAGAGATAGTCATCAACAGGCTTGTATGTTCTGTTGTATGCAGCGCTGGGAAGAGACCTCGGATGTAGATCAGCCGTCTGGCATGAAACAAAAAAGATCTCTCTCACCCCTACTCCGCTGCTGCAGAAAAGAGGACTATCCAAGCATATAACCAGCCTTCCATGATCTGTGAAGTCATTTTACTGCAAGAGAACCATTTAAATGGCAACAAGTGCGACGAAACATTGACTATCGGCTTCCCTGACTTGCTCAGCAGCAGTGCAAACTGGTTGACAATGGTCTCTCTGGAAGGGCTAAAAAGCAGTCAAAACAGGACTTCAGAGGCTTGTCCCAGGTTGTACAGAGAATACAAGAGCATGCAGCATGTTTACATACGACCTTTCTCCCTCCCCCCATTCCACACGCACACAAAACCCCTTCACCAAGGAGAATATCTTTGTGACAAGAGGCACTTGAATGATATTTGGAGAGTCCCTATGAAAAGGCCTTCCCCTCACAGTGAAGTGGGACAAACAGAAGAGAGGCAGTTTCTCAGGACTCCATCTCCTCTTGGTCAAGCGGTGGTGGCACAAAGCTCGTGACTTCATCGTAAGTGAGGCCTGCAGGGAAGAAAAAAAACAGATTTAGTACAGAAAGAAAGACAGCAGTGATTTCTCCCCTGAGGAACTGTAGCTGTTAAATGGATTCCTCCTAGCCACATAGCAAAATGAAACACACCCCTTAAAAATAACCTGAACAAAGAAAAAAGTCAGTGGTTGGTGTATGTCAGTTCAGGCTAACATTCAAAATAATGGTCTTTCCAGAGTGCAAGGAAGCTGTACTTCTGCTGGGATGAACAATAACTGCCTGCATGAGCTGATATTTGTAATACAAGCTAGCAGGCCAAGGACTGCATTCATTCTGGATGCAGCTTGCTACTGGAACAGTATAAGAGGTCTCCACTGAGTGAAGAGGCAACAAAATTAAAAGGTGCCTAATCACACAACAGTTCTAGGAGTTCCTCTTGTGCTCCCACCTCTCAAGGTCTACTTCCACTACCGCACGAGCTCCTGTTTCACAGTAAGCTCTGGTGCCTGGCAAGAGAGGGAATCTGACTCGGTTGCTCCCCAAGACTCACTTTTCCATTCTTCAATCTCAAGTTCTCGGCTTTCAAAGGACTGGTCATAGGGGTCTGCCACCGGCTCGTCATCTGGATCGTGATACTGAGAAAAGTAGGCATGGGCTAGTGCTTCAGCTGCAGTAATTCGTTTGTCTGTGTCCAGCACCAACATCTTCTCCAGCAAGTCCACAGCTATCAAGTCCCAAGACAGAAAGAGAAAAAAGGAAAGAGTTTTACACATATACCGAGCCATCATGACACTATTCCAGAACTCAAGTTCTTGAAATCCTCATCTAAATATGAGTTTGTATTTTTTCTGAGAACCTCACCACAAACATTCCTTTCAAGATGCAGGAGGCACTTCCTTGCTAAACTATGCTGTAGTCAAAAAAAAGAATTGGGACCCCTGGAATGCAAAAATTCAACTTCTATACAATATTTTAAAACCATTAGAAGCACAAATTTAAAATGACGACTAGTCAGTCCAACACACAGCATTGGATTCTACTTTTAAGATAACAAACCACAATAGGGGACTAAGCCAAGAAGCAGAGAGGGGCATCTTTGAAGCAGAGAGGGGACTAAGCCAAGAAAAAAAAGTTTCAGTCTTCTGAGAACTCTTTACACATGCTCTGGGGTGAGCGCTTTAATTAGAGCGGCTCCCAGGAGCCGCTCTAATTAAAAGTACCAGCAGTGTCTTGTGTATTCAGCATCAAACGCTTCAAAATGGCAGTGGGGGCAATTTAACTGAGGCTCATTCAATGAGCTTTAAAGAATCCTGGCTGCCCTTTTGAAGCATAAGGACACTGAATACACGTGATGCCGGCTGCCGGAGCGTGCTAACTAGTGCACTCCAGCAGACGCAATTAATTGAGCCTGCGCTAATGCGTTCCAGTTAGAATGTGTTGGAGCAGGCATCGGGCATGTGTATAGGTACCCTAAGACTGCAGTAACAACATAAAGAAGCAGCTCTTCAGCAACCAGAGCCAAGCATTAACTGAAACGCTAACAGGTACATTTTTCTAATCCAACTCTCTTCACCTCCAGAAACGTGATGGGTTTTAAAGTGTGCAGTTAGTAAGTTATAGCAAGGAACACTCTATTCAAAATTCGCAGTCTGAAACCCCCCCCCCTTTTTTTTTTAAACACACCTTGCTGTAGAAAAGTAATTGTCCACAGAGATGACAGCTTTTTCCCTTCACTGCTAAGACTGAATTTAGTTCCTACCTTTCCATCCCCCCAAATCCTTCTAAAACAGAAATCCATACTCCTGTCAACTCAAGAGAAATACCCCATAGCCTCAGTTCAGTAAATACGGCTTAGCAACATCTGCCACTAAACCCCTTTCCCAGGAGAAATGCTCCAAAGCCTTACCCAGGGGATTGGCACCGATAAACACATTTTCAAAGTTCATTTTCGGCATGTAGGACAAAGACTGAATGTAGTTTCTCGCCTGTGGAAATAAATGCTTTGTTAAAGTACATCTCCCAGCTACCAGGATACAGACACGTTCAGGTTTCCCTGATGCACTCCGTTAAATGTCCCAGCTCCCTACTCTGCTTCCCCTGCTCCTATCTCCAAGACGTTTTACTACACACATCAGCTTTCTCCTTCTCACCCACAGACTATTTCTTGTAGTGGGGAAAGATGACCTTTCTCCATGGTTTAGGCAAGGCTGGAAGCATATACATGCAATACAGAAATCTGTCAGAACTAGCTAATGGATTCTATGCTATCTGACGGTAAATTATCAAACCATTAACCAAAGTAACAACCTAAAATTAATTTGCATTTCCCTGGGCCCCAGAGACTGACCATTTAGTCTGCACAAAGTCTGAAATGTTGCCTGGGCTTTGTCTGAAAAGCCTTGCTGTAGCAAGCAGGTACCTCAGCGCCCTCTCCATGCAGCATGCAAGCGGCGAACGCTAGAAATGATGACCTGAACTACCAACCCCTCTATCTCTGCTCAGGTCTCACCTCATGGCTGGGCATCCTGTTAATGAGGTATGCAGGGGGTGTTCCCGTCAGACGCATGATCTGCTGAAGCTGGTTAATATCTTAGTTGCCTAGTCAAGGGCTTTGTTAAAAATAGTGCAAAAACCGTTTTAAACAGACAACACAGCTACGTATAAGCCTCTTTTCTGCACAAGGCACGGACTGAACAGGCAGGAACCACTCTTGTTTTCAGATACATATACGAGGGTTTAGCAATGTGGACTCGTGAGCAGCTGAAGCAACTGAGAAGGACTACTTGGCTAAGGGCACAAAGTAACCAGATGGTTATTTTTGTCAGGCACCAGTAACCTTCATTTAGGACTTTACCTTCCAAATTTTCCAGCAGTTATAGGGCACTGGAGTAAATATTTCTTTTAGATGCATGTGCTCCATCAGGTGTCTTGGGCTGCCGCAGCCACATAAGACCTTAGGAACAGGCCTAGCCTCGACATTGGCTTTATACTGCATAGTTTCTAACTTCATGCACAGGAAGCCCCTCGTGGCATAGGTGCTGGTGAAATCAGCTCATCAACTGGCACCTCTGTCTGAACTGCTATCAGTGAATCATGTTATGCGGGCGAGGCGACAGAAGGCTACAAATGCAGGATTAGCAAAACGTTAGCACTGCACAAGATGACATGTTAGGCGATGTCAGTGAACAGAAGTAGGGTGCAACAGCAACTAACCTAACGCAGGAAACCACTGGTGCAGGCACAAAGCACAAACCAAATGCAGAGCTCGTTAGAGGGACACCACCATAGTCCTACAAAACCTCAATTTAGCTAGAGTTCGTTTCTACAGGCCAAAACAGAGCAGAGAATATTGGACTGCATTTTATGTAGCGTTCTTGACTTAGATGCGACAGAGGATCTCTGCTTTGCTTTTGTTGCCCGCCTCAGTGACTGTGGTGTGAAGGCAGGTCTCTAAAATAGAAAAGAATCCATATAATTCATATTTGTGCAGTTCACAATCTGCTCCATTTGTAGCAGGCTTCCAAATTAAGGATGAGCCACTTGAGCATTTGCTGTGGTTTTTACTTCAAAGGGCACGACTTCTCCTCTCAGCTGGAGGGCATCAGCAGTCTCACGTGCAGATTGGCGAGAGTGCCCTTTGTTGGCTGCAGCTTTTTCTACAGCTAAGCTGGAGCACCTCAGTGCCCCCATGCACTGTCTGCTGAAGCTTTTTATACCTCTGCTTAGTTTGCAAAACCCTATTAAATGTCCTGGTTCTAACTGTATAAAAAGTAATCTTACATAAGCCCTTTCATCAGCTCCTCTCTTCCCCCTTACCACCAAGTCTCTATTACACCAAGGACAGAGACCACCATTTTCCATTCATTTCCCAACCTTCCCCCTGCCCCATCTAGTCCTCTGTTTTTCTTCCTTCCACAGTACCTCTCACTGTCTAGTATCTTTCAAAAAACTAGAATTCAGTTATTGAGCTTGTAACCAAGCCTTTCTTCTTTCAGCATTTCACCTGACTTTGCATTTTAATCAGCCTGCATTTGGGAGCTTCAAATACAGCTCAAATAGTACTGCCTTTTCCTAATGCCTTTATTTTCTCTCGTTCTGAGACTTCCCTTCCCCATTCCCCCAGACCTTCCTAGAGGAAGAATCACATTTGATAGGGATGGTTTAGGATTGGACTAAGAGACTGGTAGGTCCCTTCCAACCATGTGATTCTACGATAAGGAACTGCATGGTTGGCTAGACCATCAATAATTTTACCTGCGGTATCCACCAGTTAATTACCAATGCATAATTCAATTTAATCTCCAGTTCCCTAAACCTCTCTTTCCACATCCCTTTACCTCTCCACTCAGTAATTTATATCCTCCTAACCACAACTCATTTTCATTGCCTCCCAAACTCCTCAAATGCAGAGAACTGTAAACTTCTTGCACATCTCTCAGCTACCTTGTCATCTAGGCATCTCTCCCACTTTGGAGGCCTAGTACAAACTTGAGCTTCAGTGTTGTAGAAATAGAAGTCATTAGCAAGGCAGATGCACCAAACAGAAGTCTCTAGGTTATGGAGGGGTTTGGAAAGGCCATATTAGTCCTATGAAGTTCACGGCCACTCAGTAAGCATCTTAATCATTCTCCAGTTTCTGAAGTTACTAAAATACCTGATTTCAATGTGATCTTGTCTGAGTTCATTTACCTGTCTTTTCTACCCATCTGACCACTACATTTAACTCAACACCTGAACTCCACTAAAATTACAACCATTCATGAATGCAATGCAGCCATCACCTCTATCCTCACTAGCATTAGTACTGTTATCCCAAAAAACTTAATGGAAGCCTATAGGGAGCAGTTGTTCTGAAGAGGGCCTAAATGCACCAGGGTCCTATTCTGTCACCTCCCTCTACCAGTCACTGGAAGCTGCTTGGGTAGCTAGCAAATGTGGGTTGGGTTGCACCTCATTAACTTTGTTTTCAATTCACTTCTACATCTTCCTTCTGACCCAGAAAATTCAGTCACTTTTGTTTTTACAGCATCTGGTTGATAATCAGTGCTAGTAGGGCAAAGCTTACTCCAAATAAGGCTGACATGCTGGTGGTCCCATCCAACAGAGAGACCCAGATCCAATTTAAATAAATTTCAAATGTAAATACTGAAGAAAATCCCATCTCTTGGCATGTACAATGGCCACACCCTCTTCTCAGAGAGGCCACTACCACCTTCACACCTACCTCATTCAGCCTCTTTGACCTCCGGTTTAACAGACCAGAGCACTCTCTTGGAATACGACACTGCCCTCTACCTCTGCAGTTCTGGGTTAGATAAAGGATGCTACAAATTCCACAGGCAAAAAAGACTATCCCTCCAAAAAGACTTTAAGGCAGGGACTGGCAACCCCCAGCACACGTGCCAGAGCATGGCACTCGAGGCCATTTTGCTCGGCACACAACTGCCCGCCAGGCTCTGGAAGCAGCTTCCCATCACTGAGCCTGGGCTGCTCCCAGCAGGCGGCTGGGAGGCTGCAAGCAGCCCAAGCTCCACAGTGGCAGCAGCTATCCAGAGCCTGGGCCGACTGCTGGGGTGGTACCAGCCTCTTCCCAGTGGTGGTGTCCGGTGGGGGGGGAGGGAGGGGGGTTTAGTGGTGGCCTAGGCACTGCTGGAGGGGTGGCTAATGCAAACTGTGGGGTGGCTATAGGCCCCCTCCCCAAACCACACCTGTGCACCAGGCTACAGAGTTCCAGCTAGGCTTTGTGCCAGCAGTGGCTGTGTGTACCCCTGAGTGGATGCCGGTGGAGGGGTTGGGTTGCAATGTCCCAGCCCCTTTGCTGCCCTGCACCTCAGAGCGGATGATGGGGCGGGGGCCCAGGGTTGCGCTGCCTCAGCCCCCTTCTCCACCATCTGCCCAGTGGGATGCGTGCAGCAGTCGCTGGCACAGCCTGGCTGGGGGCACTGGAGCCTGGTGCACACAGGCAACACTTGGAGGTGACTTAGGGGAGCTATAGCCACCCAAAAAGTTGCCTTAGCGCCCCCATAGCCACCCCTCCAGCACTGCCCAGGCCACTGCTGCCTGCTCTGTGCAGCTGAGCCTGCCCTGCCTCCCACCTAGGTGATTAGTGCTTTTCTCTTTGCTCTTTTTTCTCTCTCCTTTTCTTCCTTTTTTTTCCTTTCTTTTTTGCCCTCCCTCTTTTCTTTCTTTCCTCTTTGCTCTCTCTCCTTTCTTTTCTCTCTCTCCCTTTTCTCTTTCTTTTTTCCTCTCTCATCAGAACGTACCTTACAAAAAATACACAACAAAAGTAGTATATGAAGTTTTATTTATTGTCACCAGGTTTAGAAATTTTAGAAAACCTGCTATTTACTGTTTAAAAAAAAGCAACATTTATGATTAAAGTGCAGTGCGTCCTGCCATGTAGCCCCCTGACCTAGTTTTGTTTTTCTGGCACTCTGGCACCTTACAAGGTAGACATTGCATTATTCTCAGCACTCCGGCCAAAAATGTTGCCTACCCCTGCTTTAAGGCTTTGTTCTTAACCATTCTCTCTCTTTTGCATCCACTTCCTGCCACCTCTTTTCAGTATCATAAGCATTCCAGTGCCATTTTTAGGCAATGGCATTTTGCTCAGGTTTTTCTCAACTATATGCTTACCTGCCTCAAATAGATTTTTTTAATCTCTAGCCTCAATTCATTCAGCCACCACTGACAGATATCCTGTTACCTGATAAGGCAAATAGCATCAGCTGCATTTTTCTAGATTCTCTCTTCCGTTCCAAACAAGCTCAATGTCTTAGATCTCCCGATACCACAGTAGCTAAGTTTCTCCATACCCTACATGACCAGGGTCTGTACATCCACGTACTATCACTTCTGCAACAAAACTACCTACCATTCACGTTCATTCTGCGGCACTGCTCATTGATTCCATGCCTTACGTTCCCTCCTTGATGGTTTCCCAAAGTTGCCATTTGCAAATTTGTCATCTTTCAGGCCATTTCTAGGCCCTAGAATCCCAACTCCTATGACACTTCTTTGTTTGTCTGCCAATTCCAGCCTCATTTAATTTCTCACACATCAGAGGTCAAACTTTGGCTGCTGTTGAATCAGATACCTGGAACAGTTTACTCACCTACCTCCACTGTGCTGATCTTCCATTTCTTTAATGAGCAGCTCAGTGTCACTTCTTTCCAGTCTGACACTAAGCCAGTTCATCCAGTTCATCATCCTGGTACTCACTATGCATTAACCACCTATTATTCTCCTCTATTCTCCTCATATACTTTGATTTTTTTTATTGGAAAAGTACAGATTCCCTTGTTGATCTCCATGCATATTATTTTCATAAACAAGTAAGATTAAATCCTATTTAACGCTTTGCCTCAAGTTCACAATCCATGACCAAAGTAATTTTATATAGGAAAGGTCACTCGGAAAGCTCAAGACCTTTTAAATAAGAGAAGCCTGTCTAAATAAAGCTTTCACTGGTTACCACAGTAAAAGGACACAGCAAATACAAATCGCCCAAATGTACAGTATGGCTGCTTAGCAGCTAGGTGGGCTGTGTGCTTCTAGGGTGGCCATCTCTTCCACGATATAAGATCTGTATTGTAGTTTGGATTTTATGCTTAGAGAAACAAGAGTTAGTGGTGGCAGCAGCATCTCAATCTGTCATAAAAAGAGACTGGTTTGGGAATAACATATACATTCACATGGGGGACTGCATGTATTTAGGAGGCTGCCATTCCCCAGTAACATGAATTCCCCCCTACAAATCCTAGGAAGAAGCAATCTAAAGAAACACCAAATTTGAGCGAATCTCAAGAATCTTGACATACATATGTATATGTGATCTATAAGTGTAAAATCATAAACCCAAAGAAAAGTCAAACAGGTAAAATGAGGACATGAGTGGGGAGGAGGCAAACCACAGATGAGGCAGAAGGAAGACAGACGTGACAGGAAGTCTGAACCCCAGAAGACACCCAAGATAGAAGAAAAAAGGAAGAAAAAGAGAAAGCTAATGACACAGACAACAAGAAGGCAAAGCAGAAATAAAACACAAACCTGGACTTCCAAAAGGATAGATATTACAATCAAAGTATAAAACTCACAGACTCTGAGGAGATTTTCGTCAAAAGCTCAGGCCCTGGGGTTCCAACGAGTCTCAAAATGAGCTTCAACTGATCAATATCTAATGATGGACCATAAAGGAAAATGCTGGGACAAATCAAAATGAAAAATAATAACAACAATAATAATAATAATTAAAAAAAAAAAAATAAAGAGAGAATTCACTGAAAAAATATACATTTCATGGGAAAGGTTTATAAGTGGTAAAAAAATAGGCCTATTACTAATTAACAGGATTCCTGTCTGTCTGTTAATCTGCTTTTTCACTGCTTTGTAAAGTAGTTTAAGTAAATCTCAATCACTATATAAAAGTAAATTTACATGAATAGGCATAACAGCCATCATTAAGAGAGAAATTTATATTAAATTTTCTACTCTGGCATCAATAT